GGGGGGTTGTCGTCATTGGATATGTTGATCGTGATAGACGGATACGATCGATGGAGCATTAGAACATCTCCAACCCACCTCAAAAAACTGTATTTTCCTTTGTCTTTCTTCCATTATTCTTCAATCTTACCCAATTTATGGAGATATGATTAGTATTAGCCCAAATATGGAGTAATACTATTCATTTCTCCATAAATGAGGATGACGTTTCACTTGTCAGTTTTATTCCTTCTTTTCATGTATTTATACATTTCTTGTTTATTTTTATCTAGTAGTTATATTAATTAATCATAAATATAAATTTATTTTTTAAATCTATATAAAAATTTCATATCAAATTTTTGGAACACAGTAATATATTTCATAAAAGCTTATAAATATAAAGTTTATTTTTTATGTATCGAGTTCATGTATAATATTTATTTATAAGTGTGTTATAAATATAATCTAATTTATTTAATATTGTTGTAATGAAATAAAATAGATTATATATTTGTTAAAAATTAATTAGTAGAAGGAGTGTATTTGACAATTTATGTAAGTTGCAAAATGAAATATACTAGGAATATTTTTTTTTTTTTGAGATAAAAAATAGGGTAAAAAATAGAATACAGTTAGAGCTGAAACATTGTTTACTTAATTTTTCCCTTCATTTTACGAGGAAAATGAAGATGAGTTGGAGATGGTTTTAGGGGTTACTTACGGCTTTTAGGCTTCCTTTCAAATATTTATGTAACTATCCCTGAAGTTAAGAGGATTGGCAAAAACAATATACACTTTTAATGGAGAGTTGTAGACACTAAATGGGTTAGGGATCAAGATGGATTTTGAAACATCAATATTTCAAAAATAGGACTAAACTTACACAAAGATGCATATATTAGGGACCAAAACTGTAATTTACTCTTATTTAAACATTCCAGATCACAAACACCAAAATATTGTCCTCCAAAGTCTGATATATGTAATCATTGCCAAGGATATGTTTTTCATTTTAAATCATATATGCATGTAAAAATAAAAAATAATAGAAATTATATATAAAATTATTAATTATATACAAAATTTACGCCTTAAGTCACGCATTACAAACGACTTACCTCGCCACGGCTCGAAAAAACTTGAGGTTTGATATTGTCGTCA